TCATATCTTAAATCTTATAGTTAGCAATAGTCTTAAATTAGTTAGAAATATTATAAATAAAATTAGAGAATATGCAAAGTGGATCCATAGTTCATAACCCTGACAACAAAATTTTGAGAATATCATGATTTGATGTTGTCTCAAACTTGTATCAAACTAATGACCAACTCTCAATATACCTACTTGCTGGAACTCTGTATATTTGATGCTTGTATCTACCATTCTATATAAAAATATATTTGGATGTCTTATATTATAAAAAATTAATTTTGAGCATATTATGTCTGCTGAGGAGAACTGGACAAAGACTAAAATTATTTGTAATTTTTTAAAACTATTTTATAAAGGTAATAAAATTTTTAGCATATTTAATTAAAAAACTCATAATAATTAATTACTTAATATATAGTAACAATTATTATATCAGAAAATATATATTCAACTATAAATATTTTTCTTTCTTATTTGATAAAAATTAAAGTGCATCTTGTGCAAAATGTTACTAATACCAATTTTTTTATTTGTCAAATGGTCATTCCAATGCAATCTAAATTTGATAAATACTGAATGAATATAGAAAATACACATTGTATTGTATCAATAATGGATCTCTGTTATAAAATGTTATTGTTTACTTATATATATATGAATAAAATATAATTATTATGATCTGAAACAGAGGACAAACTAAATTTTATTAAAACAAAATAAGAGATATATTTCAACTCTAATGTTTCTAAATATAAACTTGATTAATTTTACTAATAAATAATTATTATAAATAATAGAAAAACCTGTAAATTAATTTATTATTTTTTACTTTATTAGATTTAGTCTCTGTAAAATTGATCCTGTAATAATTATATATGATACAAATACAACTAGTTGATCTAGTTGCTTTAATAACATTATTGCTTAGAATATAATATTAAGAGCTAATTATTATATAAACTAGATTCTTTAGGGGCTGAATCTAATAAGATAAAAGTAATGAATCAATTTACAGGTTTTTTTTTCTATTACTCTTATCATATAGAGTTATAATAATCTATCAATCAACATATATGCAAAATACAGTTGCATCTAACAATTATAATAACAATAATTCTTTCAATACCATTTCTCAAGAAGATGAACTAATGCAAGACTTTGACCACTTTCTTGCAGATAACCAAACTAATGTCATAAATAAACTGAATGAGTTTGAATAATATCTCATAGATCTACTTATCTCCTATTCTTGTACAGGATTGTTTGATGTTTTGTCTTAGTAGAAAGAAAATGAACTAAGATATCCTTCTATGGCTTTAATAGCAAAAGATTTACTTGCCATCCCAATGACCTCAGTTGCATCAGAATCAGTAAATAATATTTTAATTAAGCATTAACTTAGCAATTTATTAGTTAAATTAAAAATATGATATATTTAATTTTTTAATTTTAGCTATAAAAAAATTAACTCATATTATTCTTTATTTTGTTTAGGTATTTAGTATTGCAGGAAAAATTATTAATGACTATCAATCAAGTCTTATTTCGAAAAGTGTTGAAATACTAGTCTGCGACCAAGATTGGATAAAATGTGTAAAAGAACCAAACTGGGTAATATCTTATATGCTTGGCTATTTTTTTTTTATAGAAACAAATAGATTAATACATGCTTTTAATCTTTCATTCAATATAATAGTACAATTTGTATTTAGTCGTATACTTAACTATTTCAATTATTCTAAATCTTTGCTCAAAATAGCAGATCCACTATGAATTAGACCAGGCACAAACCATGAAATCTTTAATTAAATGCAGTTTTTTTCAAATAGCCAAACTGCTGATTATAAATACAAAACATATATACACTTTAAATTTTTATCTTTTTTATGATATAATCTCTTAGCATGTACTAGACCTGAGTCTACTAAAGGGTGCAAAAATTGGTGGAATGAAATAGATCTGGGTCTTGTATATGCATTTTTATGATAATAATCAAATAATATAGATTTTACAAAGATTACATAATACTTCAAAAAATTCTATGATGCTTAAAATTTATAAAATTCTTCAATATTTGGGTAGCAAATCCATAAAAATTTTATGTTTTGTTGGCATAATAAGTAAGCTATTTAATACGTAGAAAAAAAAAAAGCTACGTATATATTTTTATGGAGTTATGCTAGATAAATCCTTTATGCCATAAAAGGGAAATTTGGTCCAGATTGTTGCCAGGCCGATATAGCAGATATGACATATAGCACAGATATGCCATATAGAATAAGATAGATATAGCATATATGGTAGATAAAATGTATAGTGCTAGCAGATTAGATAGTAATTAATGCATATAAAGACCTGAAATATTTCCTTGAATAAAGACAGCTAACAACCAACATAAGTCCAATATTCGAAGTTGTAAAATGTTTAAGTTTCTGATTAGTGAATAACCTAATACTAAGATAACTCAAATCAGAGCTTTATAACATATTCTAGAGCTCTAATCCAAAGACTAATTCCTTAAACCAAATCTTTCCATGTCTCGATCATAGCTTTCCATCATTAGAGTTCAGGTTAGAGAGCATTTTGGGTAGTGTTAATTTGTTGTTTTCATAGACCAGGTCTAGTTTAAAATTAAAACCCGACCCAGCTCATACTTGTGGACTCTTTTTTTTAATGGGCCGAGCTTGGGCTTGTAAATATTTTCTGGGCTTGGTTTTGAGACCATGCAAATCCGGCCCAACCCGGCCCAACCCGGCCCAACCCGGCCCATTCCGTCCCCTAGTTATAGGTACTGGGTTTGTAATAAAAAACAAGTTTAATCATGGTTAAATTTTTATATATAAGAGGCCTAATTACTAAAAGATACAAAAAATAGGATCTTTGATAGTCGTGAAGACAAGAAAACGTAACAAGATATGAACTTGGATTATGTTAAAGGGTAAAAGACTACTTGGATACTACTACTATATTATTTTCGAAGTTTGGATACCAAGAGTTAATTTTTTTTATTAAAGGTAATTTTCGTTACTTATATACATTGGTTTTCTAGACTAATTATCGATACTTATTCTTTTATTTTTCTTCTTTGAACTATTTTACCGATTTTATTGATTTTACCAATCCTATTGATCCTTCCCATTTTTACGAAAAACACAAAAATGGATATTGTATTACGACGGGAGGTAACTAATGATGGGCCACGCGCGGGATTTTTAATATGAGATTATTTGGCCTGCATTAGCATATCATCTGGCCTGCATTAAATATCATCCAGCCTGCATTAACATTAATGTGCCTATTTCTAATTAGTAATTGATAAATGCGCATGCAGAGTTTGTCATTCTGTATATCGATATATATGCGTATACTTGATTTAAATTTTTTTTTGCCGTTGGTAGTTCTTACTTACTATTCCTTGTTATAATAAATATATAACCATTATTAAGTCATTCTTTAAACAACGTTATTATAACATGGGTGTTAATAAACCAATTTGACATCATTTTGAAAATCTTGGACCAAACCAAGATTATAAACAAGGGCATTAAAAGTATGATTATTTTAAATATATTATTTTAACAAGAAATTATATTTCTAGTGATAATCTTTATATATATATTTATAATTCATGAAAAATTAAAAAAACTCTACTATATTCCGCGGATCCCGCGTGGAATCCCGCGCGGGATTTTTAAACACACTGCGGGATGGGAACTTCGACTACTACAACGTACCCTAACTTTAGGAAAAATATGGACTAGGTGCTGGGAAAATGACAATTTTTCAAGAGTTTTTTTACATAAATCAATTTAGAATAAAATTAGGATCATTTTTCACTTAAGATACGAAAGTAGTTGTATTAATCAAATTTTGCAGTATAGCTCTTTAAAGTTTGCATTTTATTATGATTTATTATAAGATTTATAATATAAAAAATTGATTTTCCGAAGATTTTTTTTTTGTCCTTTTTCCAGCACATAGTGTATTACATATTAGCAAAGCAAAGAAAATAATAATGAAGGTTTATGTAAAGGAAAATTTTCGCTATAGATAATTGTATAGTAACCTCCGAAATTTGTACCTTTTTTTAAATCCAGATTGAACATTTAGATCAATTAATAATGTGTTATATTTTATGCTTTCTGTGTAATAGTAGCAGATTTAAAATTTTGACCCGGTTGAACCGTTTTGACACGGGTGATCCGGTTATAAACTCTAATTAGAACTTTCCTCTGCTTCTTTTGAAATTATACACTGAAGAATGTTAAATGCTTCTTGGATATTCGGTCGTTTATTAGGTTCCTCATCCCAACAACATGTGTACAATTGGATATATTGTTCTGGTGTACCTTCTACTGGTGTTTCTCTTATTCCTCTAAGGATCTTATATATTACTTCATCCTTTCTTTTTATAAATTGGAAAGGTGGGTGACCACTTGAAATTTCCCATAAAAGAACTCCAAAACTGTAAATATCAGATTTCTTATCACGCACATATGTGTGATCGGCGAGATATTTCGGATCAATATAAGCGAATTCATTAAACAGTATATTTGTAGAAATCGAATTATTTGTCTGTTTTGATATTCCAAAATCAGCTAACATAACTTTTCCATTATGAATTAAGATATTCTTAGAATTCTTTAAAAGAACAATCTTAATTAAGTTTATTGTCACAAATTTATTGTAAAAAATTAATTAATAGCATAAAACTTACAAGATCTCTATGAATAATTGCTTCTTTATTTTCATGCAAATATATAAGACCTTGTACAATTTCTGTTGCCATACGTATCTTATCATTCCAAGTGAGCATTGAATAGTTGTTTATTAGATAATCTTGTAGATTGCCATTATTTGCGTATTGTAATATTAAAAAATAATTATTATTATGATCTTTTGTGATCCCGCTGAATTGATTAATATTGGGATGATAGTATTTTGTAATGTTAAGTAATAATTTAACCTATAAAATTAAAATAGATTAGTTTCATTTTAATATATAAGTGTTAGAATAGATTATATACCTCTCTAGAGAAGTTTTCAATAGTATTTTCACCCTCAATTTTTAAACTTTTTAGAGCAACTGTTAAACCACGATTTTTCCAGTATGCTTTTTCTATAGTCTTGCCAATTTTTGAAAAATTAGTAAACTCATTATGGTCGTAAAGAGATATTTCATTTTCATTAATTATTTTTTCAAGAGAGTCTATTAAAACATCTGATGCATCCAATTTTCTTTATTTGCATGACATAAATAATTATTTAAAAATAATGTGAATGTTTAAAATGTTATTGTTAGTGATAAATTATTACATAAGGTTAATTTTGAAAATGAATTTAGAAAAGTTATACACACGAATTTTCTTCACCACTTGTAGATCCAACGACAACCGTATCCACATTTGATTCATCATACTGAAAATCTAAAGAGATAAATAAATTAAAAACATTTGCATTAGTAAAATTTCATATAAATATATTATGAATAGAATAAAAGCCAAACAAATAATAATTATAATTACAATAATTAACATTTTCTTTATCTGATATTTCTGTTACATCATTTATGAAAATTAAGTTCTCGGTTAAAGGCGATATGGCTTGTTGATTATGTGTAGTAATGTTATTTATAATGAATTTAACAGTTGTTTCTGTTGATAGCTTTTCAAGTTCAATTTTAATTTTATCTAATGTTGGACGCTGGTCTGGATTAGAAGACCAGCATTTACTGTATAAATCTATATAGTCTATAGGTGTATTGGGGATAATTTTCTCCCTTTGATTTTTTGAAATTTCCAAGATAATGGCCACTGTGGAAAGTCCATAAAATGGGGGAACACCACTTGAGAGTTCCCAGAATAGTATTCCTAAGCTATAAATGTCTGATTTCTTATCTAAAATAACAGACTTTCCTTCACATAAAAGATATTTTGGCTCAGTATATGCCGGCGTACATGCCATATTTGTGCTTGAACTGATAGTGTTCTCATTTAAATCTTTTGATATTCCAAAGTCTGCAATTAAGATCTTGTCATCATTTATTAGAATATTTTTAGAATGCTAAAATTTAGAATAAATAATTAAAACTTAAATGATTTTTAAAATTTAAAATTTTAATACAAATTTAAAGTTTGCAACTCACTAGGTCTCGATGGATAATGTCCTTGGAGTGCAGGTATGTTAATCCAAGGGTAATTTCCTTTGCAATTTTGATAAGTTCAACCCATGAAATTTTATAAAGGCCATTACATTGTTTTCTTTGTAAATAATCTCGTAAGTTCCCCTCATTAGCATATTGCAACACTAGTGTGACACCCATTTGCGTATCTAAAACCATTAAAACCGCTTAAATTGTCAGGCATCATTTGTATTTACCAACATCATGTCCATGCTCATACAAATGGAATGCTTGGCATACTACGGAGGTTCTATAATTTCATTTTAAATTTTTTTTTGCTTTTTATCATACCTCTTAAAATTCCATAGAATTTAACAATATTAGGGTTATCAATCTCGTAAAGAAGTTTAAACTGTATAATATAATTACTATCAGTCAATATACAGTATGTTGTAAAGAATCCTGACATTGGATAGTAAAAAAGAACAAATCACCTCGCGTCTTGCCTTCTTGAACGAATTATAATTCATAGATAGGTTACTGTTTAAATTTTTCAATGCATATTTCTTTCCTTGTAGGGTTGCTTTATAAACTATCGCAGTTCCTCCTCTCCCAACAGTTTCATAATCACTAAATTGCGAGATATCGTATTTCTTAATGTTAAATTTGTCTAAATATGTTTCTAGTTGTTCTGAATATTCAAGCACTAAAAAACCTGCATTAATTTATAATTTAAAATATCGCTTGTGATCAATGTAATAGCTTACATGTTTTATTCAGATCATGCGCTATGTTATTAGATTCGCCACCTCTTATATCCTTTTTATCAAATAACATGTCTTCGTCTATTAGATTCATTATATTAATTATTTACTTTTAATGAATTTAAGATCGTTTTAAAGTAAAAATAAAAAAATAACAGATCATCATCATATTTAATATAAATTCGAATGGATACACACGTACTACATCCACATAATCTAACAAAGCCCAGCCCTAGTCGGAGTATCATAAATTAGATTTGGCAAGTGGGAAATCTTTTATCAGAATACAAAATAAAGTCCTTTGTACTATTATTAAAATTCAAGATTTTTTGTGACTCCGAAATTACCGCTCAAAGTTAGTGGCATAGTAATTGGCCACAGTGATTTTGCATGCCGATACCGAAGCAAGATTTTCAACAATATACTTCATTATAAGACAAAAAGAAAAGGCAAAACTTCTCTTATTTAAAGAACTTATTTACGAACCATGTTATTAATGGATTCAAAAAAAAAAAGATCCGCAGCAATTATTATGTATATTATGAACTAAGATTTTATTATCTATTTGTACATGTACGTCAAATTAAAATTGTGTCGGATCAAACGTTAAATACTGAGTTTAATTAGGGTCTATTTTAGGGTAGTATGTATCAGCGGAACTACAATTATTTTAATCTGATATAGATATTAATTCGATAAATATCATGAGTACAAAAAGTTCTATAATTATTTTTTTATGATTTGAAATACTTCATATTCTTCAACTGAAAATTTATCATTAGATTTCCTAATTGAATTTTCATAATAGTGTTTGAAACATTTACATTCGCAATCATCTTTAAAATTTTTGGTCATGGATAAATCATCTTGAAAATATGGACCATAGTTTTCTGATAATATAATTGATTTATCATTAATTGCTCTACTAAATATTGATTTATTTGGATTATCGAGATCTAAATTGAAAATGAAGCTTTTATTTGTGATGCATTGTTTTCCTTCTTTTGGTGATTTCCAATCTAGTGGATTATATCCGCCTAAAATGCTGTTTTCATCTTTAATTTTTAAGATAGTTAAAGTAGGTCCTTTATTATCACATTTGTCATGAAAACTAGCCGGAGTAAATCCATCTCGACTGCCCCTAATGAGTAGCTTGAAGGTGTAAGAATTTTTAGGAAAAATCTTTCTGAAACCTTTTCTAGATGTTTGATTAATCCATCTAAAAATATGATCGAAATGCACTTGTTTTATTAGATATTCTTCAGATTCATTTTTGGGTTCATGAATACTTGATAAAGAAACTTCATCACGTAACCGGGCCGAAATATTTGAAATAGAATCTCTTTTAGGCTCGTAAACGTTTGATAAAAGTGTTTCATCATGAAGTTGGACTGGATTATTTTGAATAGCTTCATCATTAAATTCAATGGTAGTTTGTATCTGGATTTGACTATTTATAAGCGGTTCACTCTGAAGAACTTTGAATACTTCTTGGATATTCGGCCTTTTCTTAGGTTCCTCGTCCCAACAGCGTGTGTACAATTGAACATATTGTTCTGATGTACCTTCTACCGGTTCTTCCCTTATTCCTTTAAAGATTCTGTAGATTATTTGATCTCTCTTTATAGATTGGAAAGGTGGACGACCACTTGAAATCTCCCATAAGAGAAAACCAAGACTATAAATATCTGATTTCTCATCACGTATGTATAAATGATCGGCGAGGTATTTTGGATCAATATAAGCGGGTTCATCATGTACCGTAACTGTTGTAGCACTTAACGTTAAATGATTTATCTGTTTTGATATACCAAAATCAGCCAACAAAATTACACCATTATTAACCAAGATATTCCTAGAGTGCTATAAAAGAAAATTAAAATTGAATTAGCATTATACGTATAAATTTAGTGTAAAAATTATATGAAAAGTCAATAAAAACCAAGCAAATTTTTATAATCAACTTTTTCTAATCCAAAAAAAAAAATTCAAAAAACTTATAGAATTAATTAAAAAGAATTTTATCTAATTTGATTGAATTATTTTTGTTTAAAATTTTAACAAAATTTACTGAAAAAATTTGCTTGATTTTATTGACTCACCCATATATTAATAAGTTATTAATAAGATATGTATTTACAAGATTTCTATGAATAATTTTTTCCTTATTTTCATGTAGATGTATAAGACCCTGAACAATTTCTGTTGCCATGCGCAATTTGTCGACCCAACTGATATTTGTATTATTTGCTAAATAATCTCGCAAATTACCATTATTCGCATATTGTAAGATTAAAAAGTAATGTTTGGTGGTACGATTTTTTGCGATTCCAATGAATTGATTAATATTGGGATGATAGTGCTTTGTAATATTGAGTAGTAATCTAACCTGTATAGCACATATATGTTAAATCAAAAAAAACCCCGAAAAAATAGAATGATAAATGAGAAATAGTATAAATTTTATTAGAGTTCCAATCCATTATCCGTTTATCTATCGAACATCTAGGATCTGAATTTATTCGGATATCCGTTTTATTATTGATATCCGGATAATTATCCGAACATTTGCCGGATTATCTGGATATCGATAGTAAATGGATGGCGGATTTATCCGGATTGGAACTCTAAATTTTATATATTATATTCTATACCTCTCTTGCAAAATTCCTAATAGCACTTTCACCTTCAATTTTTATTAGACTTTTTATAGCAACTGTCAAACCACGATTCTTCCAAGTTGCACGTTCTATTTGGCTATGTAGATTCTTACTAATTTCAGAGACATTAGTAAATTCGTTATAGTCATGAATATCTATTTTATATTCATTAATAATGGTTTCAAGTGGATCTATTATGTTTTCTATTTGTCTTTAAATCCATAATGTAAATTATCATGATTAATATAGTAATATGTAAATAAACATTACACTAGTGGTAATCTAGTAAGAATAAATTACCACATAGGATTACTATAATTTCAATTGATACAGAAAATTTCATACATACTTATTAATTATTTCATTGCCATCGCCATTTATTAGTGTTGTAGGTGTCGAAATGACTAAATCATTACTTAGATCATCATTAATTCTGATAGTAATTGATTTATCTTGATTATCTAAAGAGATAAATATTCAAACATTTATATTTGTAGACATTTTGTAGGTAATTAAATTGGCAGATGCTAGTAAAATAAATAATGACAATTACTCTTGAACTCCTTGGATAAAGTGTTCTTGTTGTCTTCTAAATAATTATCAGCATTCAAGTTTCCAGATGGAGATGATGTGAATTGATGTTTAGTGTCTTTATCGGAATTTTTTGAATGGTTTATTTTATTTGTAATAAAGTCTAGTGTTGTTTTTGTTGATAGTTCCTCAAGATCTTTTTTAATTTTGTCTAATGTTGGACGCTGGTTTGGATTGGGAGACCAACATTTAGTGTAAAGGTTTGAATATTCCATAGGAGTATTAGCAATAATCTCCTCTCTTTTTTGTTGTGTAATGTTCATAAATATTTTCGACAACGGAAGTTTATGAAACGGGGGAATTCCGCTTGTGAGTTCCCAGAGTAGTACACCCAAGCTATAAATGTCGGATTTTTCACTAATATTAGACTTTCCTCCAGATATAATATAATTTGGTTCAGTATATGCTGGCATGCATGCCAGATTTGAGCTATTTGAAGTAGCACTGATAGAATCATTAAGGTTTTTTGAAACCCCAAAATCCGCAATTAATGCTTTATTATTATCTATTAGTATGTTTTTAGAATGCTAGAGAAATTAATCATGCACGAGTCAGAAGCTATAAAATAATACAGGAATTCTAATCTTTAGAAAAGTTAAATCTTACAAGATCTCTATGGATAATTTTTTGTGAGTGCAAATAAGCTAATCCGGAGGTAATTTCATTTGCAATTCTAATAAGTTCATTCCATGAAATTTCATAAAGGCCATTATGTCGTTTTCTCTCTAAGTGATCACGTAAGTTGCCACCATCAGCAAAATGTAAAACTAGAGTGATGCTTTTTTGTGGATCTAAATCATTAAATTATCAGTTATGCTAAATAAATAAAAGATTAATCATTAAAACCAATTTTTTATTTGCTATACCTCTTATAATTCCATAGAATTTAATGATGTTAGGATGATTAACTTGATAAAGATTTTTAAGCTATATAATATAAATCTGATTAATTTTAAAATTTTAAAACTATTGTACAGAGTAATTAGAAAAATCACCTCACGACGGCTTCTGTAAAATGAATTATCATCCATAAATAGGTTGTTATTTAGACTTTTTAATGCATAATTCTTTCCTTTGTAAGTGGCCTTATAAACTATTGCAGATCCCCCTCTCCCAACAATGCCACTATTTTTAAATTGCAGATGGTCAAATTTATGTATATTAGAATTATTTAAATATTCTTCGAATTTATCCGAATATTCAAGCACTAATATTATACAACATTTTTAAGTTAATATTCTACAAATCAAAATAAAATTACTAATACAATAACGTATGTCATACATGTTTTGCAGTTTCTAGATTCATTGTTTGTCGTGTCATTGTCGTTATTGAGCGTATTTTCGTTTGTTGAATTCATTATTAATTATCAATTTATCGGTAATTTTTTTTGACCAAGATTGTTACAATATGATAAAATTCAAATTTATTACGATTCTTTATAGAAGTTTTTTATATATCTTCATCGGTGCTAACAATCCGTTATTTTTGTCTATAAAGAATATGGATGAATGAGAAACGTACCACGTATCACATAAGCTTTCTAAATTTCTAAAACGATAATATCAAATGGCCGTATTCGGAGTGCTCATTCCATCAACCTAGTAATACATGCTGTATCCTATGTATTTTACTTTAAATAGAATGTCGATAGTCATTTCTGATCTGCATAGAGTTGGAAAATTACTGTAATTTTACGTACCTTTATTAAGTTTCTAAAATCAAAATTATATGTAATTTTTATCATGTGAATAATTTTTTGCAAAAATTTTTATAACGCTGGCACTAAAAATAAATAAAAATTACAGTTTCGAACATAATGATGGATATCTATTAGTCCTGGCTAAACTTTTGTAATGTCGGTAAAATTATCACGTGATAATGCACTATTCAACGTAAAGTTACATGTTACATTACTATTTCGTAAGCTACAATGTAATTTACATGAAACGTAACAAAGTAATTTATGTAATACATCTCTATATAGTAATAATGCGGTAGAATCGTCCCAATGATAGTCATCACATGACCGTAACTTGCCGTAACTATAGTAAGTTAGGGCCATAAGGTCGTAACTTATTATATAACTTGCTATAGTTACGGTAATGTGACGACTATCATTGGGACGATTCTACCGCATCACTAATCCCAAGTGATAATGTCGTGCTTAAAGTTGACATTTGCTCGAAGTTACCAATTTAGGCACACTAAACTAAAATTGATCCATAAAATTAGATCTTGCACGCATTAGTTAGTAATTTTAGGCAGTTTCAGCTTTAGGCCTTGAAGTTACAACTTCAAGCAGTTGCTGACTTCAGGTGTCGCACAAAACTACGCAGAAATTCCCGATTTTGATTGACCAACGGTGACGAACAAAAATTTAGGCCAAAATTACCCAAATTTTTTACTAAGTAAAAGTTTATGGGCTAATTTTACCATTGGACCAGAGACTGTAGATTTTATAGCACCTAAAATAGCGCTATTTTCTAGTAAATAGCTAGTAAAACTATTTTATGCTGAGATGCGAATTTTCTATTATCGCACTAAATACGTGATTATTATCTTAACTGATTGGTTAAATGTTTTTCAAAATTTATGGGTAGTGTTCCGAGTTGGTAAAAAATTTTCTAATCGATTAGTTGCGAACTATAGTTGTAACTAATTGATTTTCCCTATCATGTGACTAAATTTGTTGATTGCTAAAGAAATCAACACGAACCAACCCGAATAGACGGAATATCTCGGAATTTAACCAGTTGATGATTTAATCGATTAGTTGGTTCAAAATTTTCCAAATCGATTAGTTGGAAAGTTGTCAACTAGTTGGTTTTTCAACTAACGAATTGGATCACTATTATGGGTACGTATTGGTATAGGGAACTTATCGATAAATTGATTAATAATCAGTTGATTTATAGGATATTACATTTGATTTAACATATATAATAATAACATAATCTAGGCTAATATTTAAAAACAAATAAGCACAAAAGACAAAAAGATTACTGAACCTGGCAAATATCAAATCAACAAAATTTAACTTATATTTCAAACTCAAGAAACTGATAAACAAGGGTATTAAAGTTGAATTAATTCAAACTTTTATTAGATTCCTCTTTTGAGTGTAAATGTAAAGCATTCATTTTCAAATTATAAACGTATTTTAAATGATATATGGAAGGCTTTTACTAAAAAAAATATTGAAGCTTTAACGAAGACAGGGTAAATGTTTTTTAAAATATAATTCATGAATTTTAGTTTACTAATTTTGATAATTATGCTAATTTTACTAGCTATTTTCATTAGCTATATTTGCCCAATTCCTTAACAATTTCCTTTTTGGAATTAAAAAATTAAAAAAATTAATTCTGGCAAAAAAATATGTATAACGCAGGCCAGAATTTTGCTGATCACACAGTCGTTAATCAAGGATCATCCGCGCATTTTATTAGTTCCATTTAACTTTCAATATTTTTGGGACTTCCGGTAAAAAATTGATTGAATGATTATTTGTCGATTCGATAAGTTTTTGATTTCGGCAGTGACAAACTTTGATTTGAGTGTAATTAATAATTTAACGTTAATTATATATAAATTGCAATTGTATTTTGAACAATGTCAATGCATCCAAAATTAAGTTTTCACTTGAACATATGACCAGTATGCTTTGTGTCGGTTTTTGCCAACCAACAGATCTTGACAAAAAATATATAAAGGGTTTCGAATACAAGTCATGCTTCATAATAAATACATTACACGTGCAGGCGCCAATGAAAAAGTTTAATGTATAATGTTTATTATAAAGTATAAGTCAAAAAGAAACCTACCAAGAATTATATGAAAGTATTGAAACGATAGATTTGACGGCTAAGGAACTAGGTTCTCAATTATATTTTGTATCGGATACAATCTTTAACAAATTATACTGATTGCGACTGATACAAATATAATTGAAAGGTTTCCTTAACGACACTCAACACTAATTATCGCTTGTGTCTCTTATTGTAAAGTCCGATATTTACAAGTTTCCCTGTACAGCAATCATATAATTATTGTCATTTAGCAAAGATATATTATACATTATTATATAATCGATCATTACCGAAATCAAAAACTTATCGTATCGGTCAAACAATTATTCGGTCAATTTTTGTAATGAATTTTAATCGGTGTAATGTCGGTTAATTGGACCGTCAGTAAATGACCATAGGAAAGTTGATATGTAATCATATAAATATAGCTATTATTGGATAGAATCAGATACCTATCATTATACTCTTGAAGCATAAAAAGTATGAGCTTATACGTAATTTTAATCATTGCGTGCTTAGTTGTGTAAGCGAAATGTCTTAGTTGCGACAATATTAGTGAGTGTAACTACACTTGTACTTAAATTTATATTAAAATAGGTTTGAAAAAACAACGTGCATATAATGTATGCGTATAACGATAATGAAAATGTAGCTCCATAGAGGCCAAACACATAGTCCAAGTTTATGTGTAATCTTTTTTAATTGTTTCAGAATTTCGGTCACATGTATAACCTACACTAAACTAGGTATTTTTTATAGCAGTTAGAATACACTAGTTTTGGAAATGTGTTCGCATTCGGGATTTACATTTGATAAGTATCGGAGTTCGGTTTAACTTTCCGAAATCCATTTTCTGAAATACCATTTCACCGAAGTCGTAACACCGAAAATCAATTTTACTAACAGGACAGAAATAGGTCGTCATTTAATTTTTTACAGGGGGATCACCAAATTTCCACCAGCATTTAACAATACAAGTCAACGTTTATGGGCCAAAATTATCAACTGGTTGCTTTACTTAATGAGTGGGCCATGACTTCATTAGTAAAACTTTTGGTATTCCGGCCCTGCCGATCATGATTCCTGTATCGGTACGAGTCATCGATAAGTTTATTTCATTCATCGACAGGTTTTTTTAAAAAATTGCACTAACCATAACTATAATTCTAAACCTGACCCTAATGACAATGACTAGAATTACTTTGTCGGTGAAACTTGTCGGTGAAACTTGTCGGTTAATTGATACTCGGTGAAATGACACAGACCTATTTCTATCCTGCTATTAAAATAGATTGTCGGTATTACGACTTCAGCGTAATGTACTTTGGAAAGTGAGCATCAACCTTACTGAGTGCTCAAGAGGGAGAACCTGCAAGTAAAAATTCATCCATAATTAATCATATATGGAGTGTCCCTTATTAAAACAGCCCATTTTTGCATTTTTAAAAATATTTTATTTTATTTGATTTTTTAATGAATACATATTCAAAAAAAAGATTTACTATAACATATTATACGTATAATAAGAAAATCGGTAAGATGCAATAAACTAAAACCATTATAGAAATCTAAAAATAGAAACTAACGATCTCAAGATCTCAATGGAAAATTCTAGAAATATGATATTTAAGTAATATATTCTGCTGAAGTAACACAAAAAGGTAAATAAATATAAAAAGTGTTAACTACACATTAAATTTTAAATAGTGTTTTTTTTAAATACAAAATTGTCTTAAATACAAAGACTTCTATTAAATTGAAAGTTTTCTTTTAAATGCAGTCTCAAAGTAAATTGAAATCAAAAATTACTAATAATAAAAGTTATAAATTTTAATGCTAATATTAAATGATTTTGAAAGATGTAACATTTAAAGTAGTTGGTTATAACAGTTTGGCAAAGGTAATTAAAGTTATTATTAATTTTAATAAATTTTAGTTCAAAAATTACCAAAAGCTTTTTTAAATTCTATCAGGTTCAACAATAAAGGTTTTTTCAATCTAATAAATTTGTTTAAAAGTTTCTAATATCTGTTGTTAGAATTAAATAAAATTAAAATATATAATATTTTAACTAGTTGGTTACAGTAATTATATATATACAAGGTAAAATGTATAACAGTTTTGCAAACATAATTAAAAGTTATTTTTAATGTTTACTAAAGGTTTTTTCTAGAAAATTTAGTTTAAGAATGAATTTATATAATAAATTTATTTAAAACTTCCAATGTTTATTGTTTAAATATTGTAATTGAATAATTATAATAAACATAATATTTAAATTAATTGGTTATAATAGCTATATACAGGTTAAATATACATAACAGTTTAGCAATAGTAATTGAAATTATTTTTAATTTTATAAATTTTAATTCAAAAACTAATAAAAGTTTTTTTTTAAATTTTAATAAATTTGATTTAATAAAAATTTTTTTTAATTTAGTAAATTTGTTAAAAAGCTTGTTAGAATTAAATAAAATTAAATAATTATAATAAATGCAATCTTTTAATTGGTTAGTTATAATAACCTTGCATAGATTAAAGATGCATA